CCTGGTAATTATACACCTTAATGGAACTCCAGCCGTCGGTCATGGGCGAGTCATTCATGTCCCCCACTTCGATGGTGAGATAGCGAGTCTTCACCCCCTCACTCCACCCCCTCACCCCTCACCCACCTCACCCCTCACCTCCACCCCCTCACCCGTCAACCCCACCTCACCCCCTCACTCCACCCCACCCCAACCCCTCACCCCACCCCTCCCCCCACTCCACCCTCATCCCTTCCCCCCCACCCCACCCCCACCCCGGCACTCACCTGGTAATTATACACCTTAATGGAACTCCAGCCGTCGGTCATGGGCGAGTCATTCATGTCCCCCCTTCGATGGTGAGATAGCGAGTCTTCACCCCCTCACTCCACCCCCTCACCCTCACCCCACCTCACCCCCTCACTCACCCCCTCACCCGTCACCCCACCTCACCCCCTCACTCCACCCCACCCCAACCCCTCACCTCACCCTCCCCCCCACTCCAACCCCTCATCCCCTCCCCCACCCCCACCCCTCACTCACCTGGTAATTATACACCTTAATGGAACTCCAGCCGTCGGTCATGGGCGAGTCATTCATGTCCCCCACTTCGATGGTGAGATAGCGAGTCCCCGAGACACCGAGCGAGTCATGGGTCGTCATGGGGAGCTCGTAGACCTTCTGCTCCTCGCGGTCCAGCTTCACCCGCGCTCGGAACTCGTAGCGGGACCTGTGGGGAGCGGTGGGGTGGAAGAGGGCGAGGGATGGGAAGGATGGGGAGGATAGGGTAGAGGGAAGGGGAGAGTGGGGGGAGAGGGGGAGGGGATAGATAGGGGTAAGTGGGGGAAGGATAGTAAAAGGAAGGATAGGGTAGAAGGAAGGAAGTGGGATAGGACGAAAAGGGGAGGGGTGGGTAAGGATGGGGAGGTGGAGTAGAGGGAAGGGGACAGTGGGGAAGGGGATAGGTAATTGGGAAGTGGGGAAGGATAGGGTAGGGGGAAGGAAGTGGGATAGGACGAAAGGGGGAGGGGTGGGGAAGGATGTGGTGGATAGTAGGAGAGAGAAGGGAGACAGTGGGGGAGGGGATAGGTAAGAGGAGAAGTCGGGAAGGACAGGGGGAGGGGGGAAGGAGGGGAGTAGGACGGAAGGGAGATGGTGGGGAAGGATGGGGTAGAGGGAAGGGAGAGTGGGGGAGGGAATAGATAAGGGGGAAGTGGGGAAGGAGAAGGAAGGGGGGAAGGATGGGGAGTAGGACGGAAGGGTTAGGGGGACAAAAGGGGAAATGATGGGGTATAGGGAGGTGAAGGGGAATGAGAAGGACAAGATGAGGGGGAAAGGAAATGAGAGAGGGGAGGAATCGGGAAAGGGAAAGTAGGAGAAAAGGAAGAATAGGAGGTGCGGGGTGGGAGAAAAAAGGATAGAGACAGAGAGTGAGAAAGAGGAAGAATGAGAGAGAAAAACAAACAGAGAGAAAGAATGAGAAGAAAAAGAAAAAAAGTGGGAAACCAATAGAGAGAAGAGAGAGAGTATAGAAAGAGAGAGAGAAAAAAAGAATCGTACATTAGAACCACATTTTCTTCACCACACACACACAAAAAATACTCAACCAAAAACCAACACCCCCTCCCCCCCCAAGATTCCACCCAGACACAGAGCAAATCTCACCCGAAGGACAGCAAGCAACAGCAAGCAACAGCAGCAAGCAACGAACCTGCCTAAGGGCGTAAGCGTGAACTTCTCCATCACAGACGCAGGGACGAGAGACGCCTGCAGCTTCATCGTGCAAGGACACCCGTTCTCCGGATTGTCGAGGTCGTCCAGCTGTATTATGACTGGATCCACCTCGCTCGGCTCCAGGTTCTCGCGGATCACGGCGTAGCTGCCCTCCTGCAAGGCGCGAGGGGACGCGGCGAGGGGTCAGGGTGGAAGGGAATTTTTGAGAAGTTCATGAGAGGAGAGAGAGAGAGAGAGAGAGAGAGAGAGAAGAGAGAGAGAGAGAGAGAGAGAGAGAGAGAGAGAGAGATTGAGAGAGAGAGAGAGAGAGACAGAAGAAGAGAGAGAGAGAGAGAGAGGAAGGTGGGGAAAGAGAGGGGAAGGAGAATGAGAAAGAGAGAGAGAGAGGAGGGAAGGTGGGAGCGATAAGGAGGGAGGAAGAGAGAATGTGAGAGAGAGAGGGAAGGAGGGAAGGTGGGAGAGAGTAAAGATAGAGGAAATGGGGAAAGAGAGGGGAGGAAATGTGAGAGAGGAGGGAGGGATGGTGGGGAGAGTAGAAGAGGAGGCGAGGAAAGAGAGAGTTAAAGAGGAAGAAGGGAGTAATGAGAAGAGAGAGAGAGGAGGGGAGGGAGGAAGGAAGAGAGAGTAGAATGGAGGAAGGGGAAAGAGAGGGGAGGAGAATGAGAGAGGAGGAGGGAAGGTGGAAAGAGAGTAAGAGAGGAGAGGAATGTGTGAGAAAGTAGAAAGAGAGAGGAAAGGTGGGAGAGAGTAGAAGTAGGAATGGGAAAAGATGAGGGGGGGAGAATGAGAGGGAGAGGAGAGAGATAGATGAAAGGGGACAGCGAAACAGAGAGAGAGGAAAGAGGACAAACAGACAGAAATACATACAGAGAGATAAAGCGGATATTTAGACAGATACACCAATATCAACAACCGACACTACATTTCCTCTCCTATCATAATCTCGTGAAAACCATCATAAAGCCACTCACCGGCCTTTGAATATGAGGATGGTTGTCGTTAAGGTCGTAAATGGTGACCAGCACAGTCGCGGGGTCAGCGTCGTGACCTCGCCCGCCCTCGTCGTTGGCCCGAGGGTACAGAATCATGGTGCTCCGCTTGGCTGCTTCCCGGTCGAGGCACTGCGGGAAGAGCCAGAGGAAAGGGCTTCAGTGTGGGGGATAGTTTGGGTTTGGAAGTTAGTATGTTGGGGTTAGAGGAGAATTGTTAGTTAGTATTAAGGTGGGGTTGGTTGGGGTGTGGGGGTTAGTGTTGAGAATTAGTGTTAGTATGGGGTTAGTAAGGGTGTGGGGTTAGTATAAGAATTTAGGTTTGTATGAAGAGTGGTTATGGGGGGTTAGTATGAGAATTGAGGTTAGTGTGCTGATACGGGGTCAGGATAGGGCTAGTAAGAGATTTAAAGTTAGTATGAATGTCGGGGAGGTTAGTGTGAGAATTTAGATTTCGTGGGGGTGTGGGGGTTAGTACGGAAGCTGAGGTTAATGTGCGGGTCGGGGGTTATTGTAGCATAGCATGGAGCCTGAGGTTAGTGTGTAATGTTGGAGTCAGTATACGTGATGAGGTTCGTATGAGGTTTGGGGGGTTGGGTGTGTGTTAGTACAGTTTATCATGGAGTGTGCATGTAGTTAGTACGAGGCTAGGAATTAGCCTAAGTGTGGGGTTTAACGTGGGCGTAAGAGCTAATACCAGGATTGCAACTAATGAGAGAGTAGGAGTTAATGCAACATTCGAAATTGCGAAGATCAATACGAGGTTGTTGTGAAGTGAGCGTTGGGGTGGAATGAGGTGGAGAGCTGGAGAAAGTGGAGAGCGAAGGAGCCTGAATGAGCATTACTCTAAGACGCTGGGAACGTGAGTGCTTACTCTAACATCTCAGGGCTCAGATCGCTAAACGACTGCTGGGTTGCGGACTACTTTAGCGTGGCTAGAAGGCTATTAAGTGGATGGGTAGAGGTGCTGTGATATATATATTATATATTCTGTGTGTATATGGATATGTGTGGATTTCGGATAGATTGAAATTGTTAAATTCTCTTGCAGATAAAAACGAAAGTATTTTTTTTTTTGTATGTATAGTGTATCTATCTATCTATATGTATGTATGTATTCTGTGCGCGTATTTCGGATACATTAAACTTTCTAAATTCACTTGCAGATAACCACGAGAGTAATTATTTTTTAAGTGTATGTATGTGATGTTACACACAATATTTCCTCTTACTTTAATCGTTATAAGTTCTTACTGCATGTATTTCTAGAACATGTTTTATTCTCACAGTAATTCCCTCAAATTTATGTTTCTGTGAACCATCAATCAAGCTACATTTGAAATTAGTAGAATTAGTAGACTGTACGTGTGTGGATGTGAACGAACTTGAATGCGTGTGTTTCTGTGTGTGTGTGTGTATTTGTGTGTATGTGTGTGTGTGT